CAGACATATTGAAGGTATCCATTGTTCCAATTAGCTAGATAGAGTAAATATTGGGAATATACATTAAGAGAAAGAAAATAAACAAGTAACGAATCAGGATCTTACCAAGTCCAAAATCACAAATTTTAATATATTTGTGAGCATCAAAGAAACTGTTACTTAGTGTTAAGTCCCCATGAATTATTCCTTGTCCATGTATTTTTGCCAAGTTGATAGGTACCAACAACAAAAATAAAAGAACACTGAAATATATGTACTAAAAATTAGGAAAGCAGAGGAAATTCCTTGTGCAAGGAGATAGAAGGACTTTATAAAGAAAACAAAAAAAATAAGACCTATTCCTGATAAGAATCACCAACAAAGATAAGGAGAATTCTTCATACCCTCCTCATTCCCTTAACCCACTACAAAAGAATAGGTAATTATTATTGTTTTTTTTTTTGCAATTTTTATAAACTATCAAAAAATGTTACATTTGTTGCAAGGTTGGTAATAGTAATAAATTATTGATACTTTTTGGCGGTTTGAAATCGCAGGAAAGGTAAGTGTTACAGGTATTGGCACTTTCTGGCAGTTTTAAAAAACGTTCAATAAATATTTTTATTAAAATTAAACTTAAAAGAAAAACATTTTTAAAACGAAGTCCCTTTCCTAACTGTGCGAGTAACTTCCCTTTTGAAAAATTCACAATTTCACTAACAATCGGAAACAACATGCAAGAGCAAGAGGAGAAACTGGAGAAAACCAATTCGCGCAGAAGAGTGAAGCTTCGATTCGTTTAGTTTTCTTCTTCCACTGAATCCCATGGCGAGAGTGAAGCACACGCCAGCTTCTCGCAAGCTTGGTACGTTTCAATTTCAACTTTTTGCTTTTGATTTTCGCAAAACCCTCATTTCCGCAAACTCCTCCCAGGTAGGAAGAACAAAGCACCGCAGGCATTCACTTCCGCGCCAAAATCACCGCAATCTCAATCGGTAACCCTCTCTCTCTTTCTCTTCGCGTTTCCAATTTGTGAAATCCCTAACGACCTTTGTTTCTAAATTTCAATACTGTGAATGAAAATGGAAATACATACAATGGAAAGTGGTAGGCTGTGCAGTAATGCACACCAGGTAATGTTTAATAAGAGTTATCATCTTCATGCAAGTACTAGATATGCATAAAAACATCCTATTCTCAGATTTTGGAAACCCAATGCCTTGACCGGTTCAATAATTAGTTTGATTTGGAAAACATTACTTAGATCAAATACATGAAAAATGGATAACTGTTTCTAGATATTTTTGAGCTCTATATTTTTTTTTTCTTTTTCATATAGATAAATGAGCATTGCCGACATAAGCAGGAAACAATTCTCTATTAGTTTGTTGTCCTGCTTTGTTAGAACTTCTAGATTTTCCAATTAATTTCTGACAGCATAGCATATATAAACTTAGATTTTGATTGTTGTTACTTATTAAAATAGTTTTTTCATGATTTTCATTCTGTTTCAAAGTATCTTACAGTTTGATTAAAGTATCTTACCTGCTGGTATGAATTAGTTTGATTAAAGTATCTTACAGTAACACTCAGAATATCTGTTTCAGCCTCCTCCACTTCTTGCGTCTCTTCTGCATATATTCCTAACACCAAAGCCTCTCTCACTATTCGAATTCAATTCAATTGTTTGGTGCTAATGCTCAATTTGCATGTGCTGGTAATTGACCACTGATTAGTGATTAGTGATGACACTCCGTTCGAAGTAACGGAGACCTCAACAGTTAGTTAGTTAATGTATTATGATTTTTCTACTCTGCTGTTGCTATTCTTGAATTGGATTTGGATTTTTTTAGTGTTTTTTTTATGTTATTTTTTTTCTTTTTTTCAGTTTATATATTTGAATCGCGTAATTGATCACCAGGATTTGAATTCTTGTGTTTGGTTTTGTCAATCACAATTCAATTGCATACTATATTCAGTATTTAGGAGTTTATGTAGGAATTATGTTCTAGTGGATGCAAATGTTAATCGTTAATTTATGTCAGAAATATATGATTTAGTGATTTCTGGAAATATCAATTTGGTTGAGTGGTGCGTGTCATTCGCTAATGTGGGAGAATAGAACACCCTAAAACCTAGTTGTTTTTGCAGAATTCATAAATCCATATGGAATCCGTTCCTCGTCCCAGACTCAGAATGATTCTGATTCTTCGTCTGAAAGATTGTCATGACAGCAGAAACGGAAAATCAACATGGCAATTTGGAGCTTAGTTACAACAATGAGGAATTTCGATTAGAGGGAAATAGTAATGGTGGTTACATGGACAAGGCATGCCTTTATAATCATTCCTCTGTGGGGGATGGAACTGTGACTTTTTCAGAAGGCAATTGTCATGTTGATATCAATGACCAGTTTGAAGGGGAATTAGAGGGCAAGGCTGAAAATCACACTGTTTCCTGTAGTAGTGAAGTTCCATTTTGCAAAAGCATTCCAGGTTCAGGTTTATCATTTTCCTAGTGAAATCTAATTAAACTTGAGTATGTTTATCATTTAAATAATGGAGTGGTTTTAATTAGTAGTCATTGAGGCCTCTATGGTTTTAGTCTTTTCTACTAAAAAAAAATACTAATCATAAAAGCATAAAAGGTGCAAGAGTACTGAAAATTTAATCTTCTCTCAAAAGGTATATTAACTGCCTCTCTTTCAAGTGGAACAGCTATTTGGTCACGAGTGTACAATTAACTAGCTAAGCTAGGTCTAGTTAGTTTCTATGATGATAAAACCAGACTATTACAGATTTTTCTTCTACCTTATCGTGATATGAAGCTTTGGCATAAATCACGAAATGATTAAATTCTAATATCTTCTTTAATTAAATTTTTAAAGTTAAATCTTTAACCTCTTGCAGAAATTTAGATAAGTAATATGAGCACTAGATCATCGCAGTTCCTCCTTTTTTTAAAAAAAGCTGCGAACTTAGATGAAAGAAGATGTTGTTTTGACTTATTTCTATATATAATTATCTTTTCTGATTCTGGAAATTTACTCTTCTATTGCTACTGGTCATTTCTACTATCTTAGTGTTTTATGGTCAATAAAGACATAGTCCCCTTTTTACAGGTTCATAAAAATGTATTTGTTGTCTTTTATTATGGAGAGAGAGTTAAAAGTAAAATTCTGAAAATATGTGATGCTTTTGGAGCAAATCGTTATCCTTTCTCAGATGACTTGAGTAAACAATTTCAGACGATAACAGAGCTATACGTAATTTTTTCTTAATGTTTGTGCATAGCTTTCAATTTTCGTTATAAAAAATTATGATGAATGCCTTAGAAAGTAAGTTCTCAACACCATCATTTATAGGTTCTATGGAGCAAAAGTGAAAAACATGAGATGCTTCTATCCTGAGAAAAAATTGTTTCTGCAGGATCTTATAGTTGTTTCAATTGATGTTCATGTTGTTAAGTACCGATGTTCAATTTTGTTATTAGTATTACCATGGTTGAATATCTAAAATTTTCTTTAGATATAAGCTGTACAGAAATTCTTTTCCCTGCAATATGCTCTTTTGGAATTTCAACTTGAGGATTTGATCAGCTAGTTTCATGTTGCTTTAATGTATTGAAAAGGAGTTCTGGGATGAGCATCTGAACTTTGCTGTTGATTTGGTATTATATAATTTCTTGATTAGTGATTTTTAGTTAGAGATATATTCAGTTTTAGATATTGATGGATGTGTATCAGTATGATATCTAGTTGTATTTAGTACTAGTGATGTGATAATTCTGTGGTACTCCTTCCATTTCTTATTATAAGACATTTTAACCGAATTTATAGACACCACTACCCTTTTTTCCTACCAAATCTGTTTCTGAGTGGGCATCTTGCATACAATATGCAGTTACCAGTAAAGGAAAGTATGGAACAAGAGTTCCTGATGAGGTTCTTCTTGAAGAAAACCTCATGGATGCTTCATGAAACCTCTTCTCGGATCCTTGGAAGAATTGAAGAAGAGGTAAGTGTATCCAAGGTTCACCTATCTATTCCGGATAGCGCCATTAAAATAATAATAATAAAAATTTGGGTGTTACAGTAAATGCAAATACCTTGATAAAAACAAGATATATTACTCATAATTAAAAATAAAATCGTGAGAATACAAATCCAAAATAAATAATATCTTACTAATGTAGAATTATGTATAAAAATACCCAATAAAAATAATAAAATATATAACTCTCTTCTTGAAAATTATATCCCATCAAATAAGCTAACAAAATAACCATAATATTATATATAAATCTTATATATGTTTTACATAATATTATATATATTTAGAGAAAAAAATTATCTAACTTTGTTTTTTAACTCAACTCACCTTGAAATGTAAGATATAATATACCAACAGATTAATGTATCGTACTTATTCAATTAGCTATAGATAGTAATACTATTCTATCTTACCCTATTATATTTACATCACCAATTTTTAATGTATTGTCATTTTGTAATTTTCAATAAAATTTATATTTTATTAATTTTTATTTATATTTTTAATACAAATCATCAATGATATCAAAGAAAATAAGGGTAACACGTTTAGTTGCAATTAATTCCATGTGTGACAGATACAAAAGAGGGAGATAGTACCTTCCCTTTGAAGACGACACTTTCAGTTCCACTTAGGACGCAGACACAATAGTGAGATAGTGCCTTCCCCAGTTTCTTTCTCCATAACGTAGGTTCATCAAATGTGCAAATTAAATTAAAGTATTAAACCAAATCATTGCAACAAATAATGTTGTAGGAATGAAAATTTTCTTTTTTCAAAATATATAATATATATTTTTTTAATAAGCAAAGAAAAGATATATTAAAAAGTACAAAGCATATTCTAACCCATAATACAAAAATCAGCTTCAAATCAATACAAGCTTTCAGCTTAGAGTTAAACTACGATTAAAATAGTATATATAAAATTTTTAATTCGAATTTTGATATTTTCATTATAATTAAATAAAATAAAATTGATACAAACTATAGGTTGTAATTGTACAACCCCAAAACATGAATTTCAGCTCGAGTTCGGGCGGATATAAAATTTATTAGGATAGAACATTCCAAGCTTCCTATTTTGTTGTTATTCTTACAATCTTACTCAATAGTCAATTCTTTATGGTTGCTTTATTCAACATTCAAATTTCAAGCCAGCTTAACCTAATTTCAAATACAAAAGAAAAGAATATAGACTTTAGTACGTGTTCCATAAGACTGCTTTTGACAACTATCTTTTTGTCACCATTTGCTAATAGTTATATACTTAAAAATAATATTTTATAATAAAATTAATGAGCAAGATAGTACAATTAGATATATGAAAAGAAAAATAATAAGTTGAAGTATAATGCAAGAAAAAGATCTAATATAGCTGTAAATATTGCAACTACACTCGGTGGACTGTGGAGTCCACAATAAGAAAATTAACTTGTATCTGCATAGAATTTCCAACAGTTATATATAGACGTCGGTATGATTTGAATTTCTTTTATGCTTAGTATGATTTGATTTATGAATGGCTTAAATAGTTTACAGTTATCAGTTACAATTAATACAACACAATAAATTATATTCAATGGATGTTATATAATTTTGGCATCATTGTAAAGGTACCGGTTTATCAATAATTAATCTTGGGGGATTTTGGTTCACATGAAGATTTCACTTTCTCGTAAATTTGAAGACGGGAATATTATGAACTTTTTGTTTTTGAATTTTTGTTTTTAAATGCAATTTTAAAATAAAATGTGTTTGGTAAAAATGGAGTTGAAATAATTTTTAATTCAATTATAAAATTGTTTTCAAAACTAAAAAAACTGTAAATGTGGATTTTAACTTTTAAAAACAATTTTGATAATGTTATTTTTTGTTATCATCACCACCACTAATATCAATATCACCATCGTCGCTACAACTACCACCACTATTAATATTGTTACTGTTATAACCATTTCTTGTAGTATTATCACCATAATTGTTATTATGATCAACATCATCAGTGATAATGCCAATACTATTGTTATAGACCCCCATACTATAACATAGACGTATAAAATAATGAAAATGGAAAGTCTATGAAATAAACTTTATTGATTAGCTAAATGTTTGCAAATTCTCTTGAATAGAGGTATCACATAGTAATACGTTACCAAAAAGTATTAAAACAATTGTTCAATATAACAATTACAAAACAAAATCTAATATGAAGTCCTAAACATAAAGAAACCAACAAGATGAAAATCCTTATTAAATCCCGATGTCACATCCTTTCAAAGAACAACACCCAACACAAGGCATAAGTCTCATCTTCGACCTCATCATCTACATGATGATTCTCACCTGCAACACATACACAAAAACACCAACAAAAGAAAAGACGAGTGAGAAACATCTCACTCTAACTTACGACATATAATATAGTTGGATAGTCGAACACATAACTTCAAGATAGAGCAACAACAAGATATAGCAATAACAATATAGCGTACAATAATTAGTCATAGTAGCAACAAGAGGATAACAATATCAAGGCATATTTTTGACAATCGATGATAATAATAAGGCACAACACAGAAGATAATGCAACATATTCCATCACAGAGACATTAATGATTCACTACATAATTTCCCTTCACACACATAATGATATGGACATGGACTTCGTAGTGCATGCATGTGGTTTCAATAAAAATCACATCTTGGTGCATTGCCATAAGCATGCACAAATTAGCCTAGCAAAATCATGTTAGGTCACATCCTCATCCCACTCTACACCAAGAGGAAATACACCAAGGTGTTCAAGATAGTGGTGTCGCAAAAGATACACACCATGCACAAAAATGGGCATCATTGGGGCTCTCAAACTTGACTATCCCCAAGGTCATGGATTTCCAAGCTTTTACACAAGAGAACCTTCCTTAACAACATATTTCATATCGTACCCATCCAAAAACAGTTATGCATATGATACATGTTACAAAAGACTCAATGCAATATCATATTATCACAATACAAATTCACATCTATTCATGATCATCACATGTTCACATCACGACTAAGCCTCAACTTAATCATTTCATCGCATGACCCTCATAAGATCCATACACATAAAGTTACCAATACTAATGCAACATCATTCAATCTATACATGGCTCACAATCATGTCAATAGGGATTACACCTCTTCATGATACATCAAAGCATAGTAGAGAATTACAATATACATGATAGTACTTGGAGAAAATTACCTACCTTTCAGTATAAGGCATCTAAAGAGCACAAGTTGCTCTTGGGACAAATTGCATCCAATGTCCCAAGAGCAACCACAATTACACCATTAAATCTTGAATCAAATTGATCATAAAATTTCAAAAAAATTGTTGATGATTCAAAAATAAAAAGAATAAGTTTGTGAAAATATGAACTATAAATAAAAATAATAATATTTTGAAAATATAAACTATAAAGAAAAAACTAGTTTTAAATCTAACCATGCTATTTGAGTAATAAATTTTTTTATAATAAGAGTGTGTTTGGTGAATTATTTCAAGAGCTTAGAAACCCTTCTGATTAGCTTGTAAACTAATTTTATTGTAATAAACTTAATTGGTATTTAAATAGAAAATAAGTATTTAATGTTAAATTGATTTATTAAATGACATTTAAATTGACACAAGCAAAAATAATTGAAATGTCATAAAAAATAAAAAGAAGGTTAATTTTTTCATTACTTAAAGATAATCACTATGTGCTATTTAATTTTGATTTCCAACCGATGCAATTAAATCATTAACTATCAAGCAATAATTAAATTTTAATTATGAATTATTTTTTAATAATCATATAAACAAGCACAGAACCAGAAATTTTATTTTAAGGAGAAGGCATTTGAAACATTAATCAACAATTATCTGTTAGGAAAAACAGCAATTATCTTTATTTAAATTTATTTTCATATATAAATTAATTTATCTACCAAAATAAAAATAATCAAAACTTAACATAAAAAATGAGAAAATATATTTATAATTAATTAATGCAATTAAAATTGTACCTAAATTTAATATATTTAAAAGAAATTAATTGACAAGCGCTAAAATTATATAAAAAATAAAAAATTTAATGATGTTATAATTCATGTAAGAAAATAAAATAATTTATAATATAACGTATATTTTTTAACACAAAACAAAATAATTATAGTTAACACCAAAATGAGAAATTAAAAACTACATTAATTAACATATTATTTTATCTATAAAATGTATAAAATTATTGATTATTGATATCAATAAAACAATATATGTTGTAGTGTACAAATGATTGAATAAATATTCATTTTTTAAACTTTTGATACGAAATTAATGAGATTAAAACACTTTCTACATCTTGTACCAATTACCCATGAAGTTAAATTTTTTTATATACATGTTTTTTAAGAATATACTATTAAAAAAATTTGTTGGATAATTAAGTGGGCAAAAAATTCAAACATAAATGTGGACTAAAAAGTATTTTGTTCATTAATGTATAGATAAGGAAATACTTAGACACTATGCGAAATGGGCGCAAATAATTCCCATCCAATCCTACTGTAGAAGCTGGCTGCTGCTAGCTAGTAGCTAGACATATTTGACTGAAGCATCACCGCACCGCGTGTGCCTCCACTCTACACGATCCTTCTCTCCCGTACCCAACTTCGCTTCTTTTTCCTAGATGCCACCTTCACCCAATACACATCTATATATATATATCAACATTCAACACGAAACAACACAAACCCATTCTCCAACACAACACAAAATACATTTCACACAAAAACCAATGGAAACCGCCACAACACTCACCGGCCTGCTCCGCCACGTGGCCACCAAATTCCCCTCCCGCCGCGCCCTCTCCGTCGCCGCTAAATTCGACCTCACCCACTCCCACCTCCACCATCTCTCCGAATCCGCCGCCGCCCGCCTTGTCGCCGCCGGAATAAAACCCGGCGACGTCGTGGCCCTCACCTTCCCAAACACCGTCGAGGTTCGTTCCCTTATTCCCCCCAAATACCCCACAAAATAACACAATTTTATTTTAATTTTTAATTTTTTTTAAATTTTTTTTTTTTCCTTTTTGTTTCAGTTTGTTGTCATGTTCCTAGCCGTCATTCGAGCGCGAGCCACAGCCGCGCCGCTTAATTCGGCTTACACAGCCGAAGAGTTCGAGTTTTACCTATCCGACTCCGAATCCAAGCTTCTGATTACGTCATCAGAAGGAAACAACGCGGCTCAATCCGCAGCTTCCAAACTCAACATCCCTCACGGCGCGGCTTCTATCACCCAAGCCGAGAATCAAGAACCCGCGCTGAGCCTCTCGTTAACCCAACCCGAGTCAACCGACTCGGTTGAGTCACTCATTAACGACCCTGCTGACGTGGCGCTTTTCCTTCACACCTCGGGAACCACGAGCCGTCCTAAGGGAGTTCCGCTGACTCAGCACAACTTGCTCTCTTCCGTCAACAACATTAAGTCCGTGTACCGACTCACTGAGTCCGACTCGACGGTCGTCGTTCTTCCGCTTTTCCACGTGCACGGGCTGATCGCCGCGCTGCTCAGCTCCCTCGGCGCCGGCGCGGCGGTGGCGCTCCCGGCGGCGGGGAGGTTCTCCGCCTCGGCGTTCTGGAAGGACATGGTGAAGTACAACGCCACGTGGTACACCGCGGTTCCCACCATACACCAGATTATACTCGACCGCCACTCGAACAACCCCGAACCGGTTTACCCGCGGCTCCGGTTCATCCGAAGCTGCAGCGCGTCGCTCGCACCGGCTATTCTGGGTAAGCTGGAGGAGGCGTTCGAGGCGCCGGTGCTGGAGGCTTATGCGATGACGGAAGCGTCGCATCTGATGGCCTCGAATCCTCTGCCGCAAGATGGGCCGCACAAGGCCGGGTCCGTTGGGAGGCCCGTGGGCCAGGAGATGGTTATTTTGGACCAAACGGGTCGGGTCCTGGAGGCTGAAGTTAGCGGCGAAGTTTGCATTCGGGGCCCCAATGTTACGAAGGGTTATAAAAACAACGTGGAAGCCAATACGGCGGCGTTTCTCTTTGGTTGGTTTCACACCGGCGATGTTGGGTATTTGGATTCCGATGGATATTTGCATCTCGTGGGTCGGATCAAGGAACTCATCAACCGTGGAGGTATATATTTTATTACCCATTAATTATTATTATTTTTATTAATTTGCTTCTGAATTTGGTATTTTCTATGAATGGGAAGAATTGGGATTGCGAATATTCTTAATTGAGGAAAACCATGAGTGTTTTAAGGAAAATTTTGGGTTGAATTCAGCTTAGCCATTGATTTTGAAATTCTACGGAAATTGCGTTTGTTGGTCGTGTGTCATTGATGACGTGGCTAGCGTAGCTCAAGAAACTTCTCAATATATGCGCGTTACGTGTGCCACTTGTTAGTATGCAAATAATTATGTGTGTAAGAGAATTATAACTTAACAAGTTGCTTGAAACAGTGGTGACGCCACGTTGAAGTTGGCTTTCCGTTTGGTATTATAGTATTACAAAAAACTACACCTAGAAAGTTATGAGTTGTCAAGACTCGAGTGTGATGGTGATGTTAATTAATTAGGTTTTGATCTGGAAGTTACATCAGGAAGAAGGAAGTAATTATAGAGATATAAAACGTAGTATTAACTTTTAAGTATAACCATCCATATCATGACACCAGGTTTAGTGCGTTTGGTTTATTAGGTATAAAAAGTACAAATATAAAAAACTTCAACATTGTTTTCATTAATTTAGAATCAGAAGAAAAAAAACAAGAAAAAGAAATAAATTTCGTTTCAGTATCAGAAAATTGTAGGGAATTCTCCGATGCATGTTATGTTAACTGATGGAGGGGCTTTTTTGTTATTGTTTTTAGGTGAAAAGATATCACCAATAGAAGTGGATGCTGTCCTTCTTTCACATCCAGACATTGCTCAAGCGGTTGCTTTCGGAGTGCCTGATCCCAAGTATGGGGAGGAGGTATGTCTTTTTCTCATTTATTTTTGGCTTACAAATTTCCGCGTCTATTTCTCAAACTATCAACAATACAACTATAAATTTTGCCCTTCACTTTCATTTTTATGGCTGATACATATATTACCATAAAATATTTAGAACTATATCATTCTCATTCATATAGTACTTTCTAGCTTCTACAATACTATTTTTTATTCCTATATTTTTTTTATCTTATTAATTATTTCATCACTTATAATTCCCTTGTTTTTTCCTTCTCATTTCTCTCCATTATACAAACAGAATTTCTCTATATTATATAATATTTACCACTTGATTTTATTTTCACTCTTATTATTCAATTAAATTTTATATAAGATTGAGAATAAATGAGAGTACGTTATTTATATATTGGTCACCACTCACCATTCAAGTTTTCCGCTCGATCTCAACAAACGTGTATTAAAAAAGTTCATGCTACACATGAATAAACACTGGCCAACTGTTTTCACATTATTTATGGCGTATCAGATGACACTTCTATATTTTGCATTGGTTGGTAATGAATGATCATTCATGAATGAGGGCCTACCAAACTGAACCGAGGATTTGTGTGCCATTTAATTTTTATCACTTTCTGCCCTCAAAGGTCATATCCTAATCACGTGTCAACATTTTGTGGCGTACAAGAAAACTCCTCTGCCAGAAGAGTCCATTTTTTCTCAACATCTTCTGGCGAATGGAACTAGCTAGCTTTTTCATTACCATGTCACAAAAATTTACTTTCCTAACTTTATTTTTCCGGAAAGGTAAAATTATACAAAATGGAAAACGTTTCGTGTAATCTTGGTTATCCATGACTAATTAACGTTTTCATAACCTTTTGATATCATTCTCCTAGAGGAAAACAGCTTGTTACCTGCCAGCAACTTGTGTTCTCACGCAGTTATATGACCCTCACTTATGAGGCAACTTGTTTTGAACTTCATTGCGTTTCAATATTATGAAAATTTCCTTGAGTTGTTCAATACTTCCTAATATTCATAATTAGTTCAAAGTGCTTAAAAGATCAGAAAATGACCTTGTATTTTTCTTGTTTGTACTTGGTGAGGAATAAGTGAAAGAATTCAAAAATTTGTGGATTACTATATGCTGAAATGATGCGTCAATCAGTTCTTTGATATTTGTATTGATCATACTTTTTTTAACCTTTTAATAGATACATTGTGCTGTCATTCCAAGAGAAGGATCAAACGTTGATGAAACAGAGGTGCTAAGATATAGCAAGAAGAATCTTGCATCTTTCAAAGTTCCCAAAAAGGTCTTTATTACCGATTCTTTGCCCAAAACTGCCACAGGAAAGATTTTGCGTCGTCTTGTGGCAGAACATTTCGTTTCTCAAATTTGAGCAATTTAAGTTCCTACCTTTGAAGCCTCCATATCTGGTGTCGTCAATACATACTTGGAATCTCGATGGTCCACACCATAAATTTAACAATAATTTGGCAACATGGCATTGAGAAGAGGAGGGTATTTCTGCAAATTAATAGTCTTTCATACATGATACAGTAGATCTTAGTTTTCAATGATTCTTATGAAATGTTCACAATGTAATGTTTTCAATGTTATATAGATATTAAATAATTGCTCAATCCATTTTTGTCTATATCTCTAACTTCTTGAATCATATGAGATGTGGGAAACACAAAATTTATCGTCTAGACCCTAGCTACAATAACAATGTATAAACATACAACTGAAACAAGCAAAGCACGAAAGTTAAAGAATCGAATACTAGTAAAATTACATTAAGTTGCACATGACATGGTAGCAAGAGGGTATTCATCCTTACAGTATTCGGTAATCTTTAACCAAATAAAATTCAAGAAGTAATCGCATTTTGATGTAGATGAATATTTTCAAAAATAGTGGTACATATTGATCTAGAAGATCATTTTCCATAATAGTGGTTTGAATTAGAAAATATTAGTAATTGTCAATGCACATCCCTAATCCAAGCATTGTGAATACAATTGCAATAAGCCAACTTTCCGTTTAAAGCAACTATAGTTAAAATGTAAACCATTTACATATGATCAGACGAGGTCCAAAACCATTATCAAGAAGAAAGGCATTCCGATGTTGCAAGAATATCATCTTGACCGAATTCTATATGGGCACCATTCGAACAAAGTATACATGCTCTGAAATTAAATGCTAAAACTACAATAGTCATAAGAAGGTAAATAGCCAAAGAACAATTTAAACCCTTGAAAAGGTATTTATATATAAAGACAAAAAAAAAAAAGATTAAGACCAATATCACAAGAAGCAGAAGCAGAACAAAGTTCAACTATTACTCAAGCTTATTCCTCATCTACAGTTGCATCTAGGTGTTGCTGGTACTGAGAGACTAGAGTTACCAACATGTAGCTACCGATGCAACAAAGCCTTTATGTGGAACATAGTTGAATTCAAGTTGAGTTACCAACAAACCTTGACAAGGGAATGTAAGACAAGTTACTCAACTCATGGAAGCTGGAAAAAAAAAAGTCAACCAAATTTCACAAAACAAACATAAATAAAAGTGAAATATGAGATGAAACATAGCTAGGAGTGGTGCGATCAAATATGGAGAAGCTAATATCATAAACAACAGAGCCTGATTACCAAAACCATGCATTTGATCTCTTTTTTCTATCTGTGAAAATCCAAGCAGGTGGAACTTTCCCTTGCTGTATTAAATAAGATAAAACGTCTCTCCTTTGCTGTTCCAAATGGGTGCCAAAGCTCAAAGAAAACCACTCCTAAGTTGTATACATTAGCTTTTAACCCAAGTAAACCCAATAAGCATGAACCAACTTATTAGAATAAATTAATGATCAATTCTATACACCACATCATCAATTTTGGGCCATTGATATTCTTGCTAAATCTCAAGAACTGTATAGAAATATAGTTCCCACTAGTCTAGTGCCATCAACTCAAGCTGTATCAGTAGAAAAAGAGGGGTGGGGAGTAGAAAAGTTGATGTTGCATCTACAAACAACTACTAAATCCTGACAAAGTAGCATGCTCATATTTTTAGAGGGCATCATTTTATTTTATTTTCTATTAAAAATAGGGAAACCATACTGAGAGTCGTACATAATTCTACTGTGTAAACAGGTGGAGCACCAATCTAGGAAAAATGATTGCACACATGCACAAGTATTTACTATTGATCTTAATCACAAATATAGAAATGCAACATTGATAAACAAACTTTGCAATTAAAATTGGAAACTAGCCTACATACTTCTTGGTCTATGAAGAATTCTGATCATCATTTCTTGAGCACCGAGCAGACATATTGAAGGTATCCATTGTTCCAATTAGCTAGATAGAGTAAATATTGGGAACATACATTAAGAGAAAGAAAATAAACAAGTAACGAATCAGGATCTTACCAAGTCCAAAATCACAAATTTTAATATATTTGTGAGCATCAAAGAAACTGTTACTTAGTGTTAAGTCCCCATGAATTATTCCTTGTCCATGTATTTTTGCCAAGTTGATAGGTACCAACAACAAAAATAAAAGAACACTGAAATATATGTACTAAAAATTAGGAAAGCAGAGGAAATTCCTTGTGCAATGAGATAGAAAGACTTTATAAAGAAAACAAAAAAAAAATAAGACCTATTCCTGGTAAGAACCACCAACAAAGATAAGGAGAATTCTTCATACCCTCCTCATTCCCTTAACCCCTAGAAATACTCATTCCTTCACGCTTCCTGCATGCCAATAGAAATTTGAGCTTGCTCAACTTTATCAAACTTGCATCGAAAACAACCACCACAATTATTTTTATCGGTTTTGCCAGAAATTAGTCTCCTGCGAGACTTTGACTCTCTTGTTTTATCAAATCCAAATTTTGTACTCATGATTTTGAGGTTTGAAGACCATCCACAACACCCATCAAATCAACAAATGTTGGTATAACAAATCTTTTCTTTCAAGACAAACTTGGGGACCTCTTTTTCTATTCTCTTTTTCATCAAAAATCTCAAAATAAATTAAATTAAAAAACAGAGACGAAGTTAAAAAGACTAAACTTAAAATGACGTGTTTACAAAGAGTTTTAACCTTGGCATCATGAAAGAAATTAGTAGTCTTTTATATCACCATGAAATTTGAGATAAGCATGTCTTGATGTATCTGAAAGCTAATTCCAAATTCAATTCTCACGCTAATCTAGAACCATTTCAATTGTAAGATACTACAAAGTTCTATCCTCATAAGAAATGTAGCCACTTCAATTAAATTGTTGAATCAACATACTATATAGATGAAGTCTAAAATAAGAAGAAGTTGCTCACAAAGTTGAAATTCTTTTACAATTTTACTTCCAACAACATATAAAATACCAATAGCAATATTACATTACAAAACCAACTATCACCAGTATGATTGCATTTTGTACAACATGTCATCAAGGAAATAGAAATAGACATATCTCCATGATTTATAAATGAACAAAGGTGCAACAACGATACAAAATACCACAACAAATCCAAGTGTCATACTCACAAAGAACCAATTCACTTCATGCCCATCATCCTCAGTTCTAATGCGTTTAACACTAGAAATTTGCTTATTGAAACTGCAATTAATAGGTAAAGGAGGACCGCACAAATTATTGCCAACAAAATTGGATGCTTCAAAGCTTTGAATCTGAGTGCCTGTTGGAATTTGACCCTTCAAATGATTATAAGACACGTCTAGCTCGTTGAGAAAGCTCAAGTTTGCTATGGTTGGAGGGATTTCTCCCGAAAGTTGATTCTTTGAGATATCCATGGATTCTAATGATCTCATGTTGCCAGCACTAGGTGGAATTTGGCCAGTCAATTGATTCTTGGACAATTTTAAATAAATCAAACCATCTAGATATGTGATTTCTGTAGGTATCCCTCCGGATAAATTATTATTAGAAAGATCAATATTTGTTACCAAGCCAAGAATACTTTTGTACTCTAAAACACTTCTTTTTATCCCTAAAAATATACTGATTGCACTACTATGTCCCATATAGAAGTCCTCTTCAGAATATATGAATAAATCTGTACTTTTGTTCTTTTGAAACATGGCACTTATGTGGTTGAAACAACTTGGTATATTTCCAGACAAACTATTTTGTGCAAGGTCCAAATCCTGAAGAAAAATCATGTCACATATTTCATTTGGAATATGACCTGAAAATTTGTTTGATCGAAGGCGGAGAATTTTAATATTTAAAAGCCTTTCTCCAATCCATGTTGGAATTTCACCTGAATAGTTATTTTTCCCAAGGTCCAAGGATATCAGTTCATTATTATTCTTCAAAAAAACAGGAAATGTTCCTGAGAGTGAGTTGTTACGAATGTTGCAAGACTTTAATATGGCTAAAGAGCCCATGGATGGGGGTAAGTTCCCAACAAAATTGTTGCTTTGTAAATTTACATCCATCAAATTTGGCCATTTTATCCAACAATCAGGTATTTTCCCTGACAAATTATTTGATGCAAGATTGAGAAGATTTAATCCAAATTGTTCGAATTGTTTGTTACATAAGAAATCATTCATGGGTCCAGAGAATGAATTACTTGAAATATCCAACCATTTGACATTCCTTGATAGGTAAGGCAATTTACCACATAAATGATTTGTGCTTAGATCAACAATTTTGGTTGATAATGGATTCCTTATTGTAGTCACAAGCTTACTGTGGATATGATTATGAGAAAGGTTTACGTAAGAAGCTTGAGAGAATGTTCCCCAAAACCAAGTGGGGATAGAATCTAAAATCCCTGCATTAGACATATCTAAATAATACAATTTGTTTTGTGACAGAATCCACGATGGAAAATTGGGACCTAACTGCCATGAGCATATCAAGGACCCACTTTTAAAGTAAAATTGCTCCCCTGTGCCTTAAAATACTTTAATCTCATAAGATTTGAAAGATCATCTTCCTTGACAACTCCCGAATAGGAATTGTCAAATGTTTGGATAAGAGGATGTGTACTTTTATTCATTATTGTCATTGCATTCAAGTGATTGAAACAGCTAGGTATATTGCCAGACAATTTGTTATGTGCAAGGTCTAAAACTTGAAGATGACTCATACCACATATTTCATTTGGAATATGACCTGAAAAGTTGTTAGATCGAAAGCCAAGAATTCTCAAATTTATGAACCTTTCTCCAACCCACATTGGAATAGTTCCTGTAAGATTATTTTCCCCAAGGTCCAAGGATATCAATTGGATATTCTTCTTCAGAGTAGTGGGAAGTGTTCCTGAGAGTGAGTTGTTACGAATTTGTAAAAACTGCAACTTAGCTAAGGAACCCATTGATGGTGGCAAGTTCCCAACAAAAAGGTTACTTTGTAAATTTACATCCAGTAAAAATGGCCAGATCTTCCAACAATCAGGAATTTGTCCTGACAAATTATTTGATGCAAGATTGAGAAGTTCCAAATGCATTGGCTTATCAAGATTTTTACATAAAAAATCATCCATGGATCCAGAGAATGAATTGCTTGAAAGATCTAACCAATACACATTATTTGAAAGATAGGGTAATTTACCACATAAGTGATTTGTGTTCAGATCAACTGTCCCGATCGATATTGGATTCCTTAATGTAGTTTCAAGCTCACCGAAGATATGATTATGAGAGAGGTTTACATAAAAAGCTTGAGAGCATGTTCGCCAAAACCAAGTGGGGATAGAATCTAAAATTCCTGTGTTAGAGATATCTATCACTTTAGGTTTGTTTTGTGACAAAAGCCATGATGGAAAGTTGGGACCTAATTGCCATGAGCTCATATCCAAATAATTAAGTTGAAAGTTTGGATGCCAATTAGGACCCACTTTTAAAGTCAAATTGCTCCCCTGTGCCATAAAATACTTTAATCTCATAAGATTTGCAAGATCATCTTCCTTGAGAATTCCTTGAAAAAGATTATCATAAATGCTAAGATATGTCAAATTAGAGAGTGACCTGAGATTTTCAAATGGATTTCCTCTGAAGTGATTTTCAGACAGATGGAGAGATTTTAATGATGAAAGTTTTTCAAATGATATAGGAAGTGCACCACCAATTAAGTTGTCAGAAAAATCTAGCCTGACAATATTTTTAAAAACCCCAATTTCATCTGTCAGATTGCCTGAAAGTTGAGAACTCTGGAGTCTCAATGTTGTGAGTCCGTGAGAAATACAAGGAGCAAGAATTTGTAAAATTTCATTGACTTGTTGGTTGAGTTTAAGATATGCGGAATCTATCTCCCTTAGGTTGCAGAGATTACCCAAAGAAGTAGGAAGTTTTCCTTCAAGTTGATTATTTGATAAATGAAGTCCAACCAGAGAAGTCAAATTTCCCAAGGCATTAGAAATAGACCCATTCCAGACAAACTATTTTGTGTAAGGTCCAAATCCTGAAGAAAAATCATGTCACATATTCCATTTGGAATATGACCTGAAAATTTGTTTGATCGAAGGCGAAGAATTTTAATGTTTAAAAGCCTTTCTCCGATCCATGTTGGAATATTACCTGAAAAGTTATTTTCCCCAAGGTCCAAGGATATCAGTGGGTTTATCTTCTTCAAAAAAGCGGGAAATGTTCCTGAGAGTGAGTTATTACGAATGTTGCAAGATACTAACCAGGTTAAAGATGCCATGGATGGGGGTAAGTTCCCAACAAAATTGTTGCTTTGTAAATTTAGATCCACCAAATTTGACCATTTTATCCAACAATCAGGTATTTTTCCTGACAAATTATTTGATGCGAGATTGAGAAGTTGTAATCCAAATCGCTTGAATCCTTTGTTACATAAGAAATCATTCATGGGCTCAGAGAAAGAATTACTTGAAATATCTAACAATTCGACATTATTTGATAGATAGGGCAGTTTACCACATAAATGATTTGCACTTAGATCAACAAAACGAGTTGATAATGGATTCCTTAATGTAGTCACAAGCTTACCGTGAATATGATTATGAGAAAGGTTTACATAAATAGCTTGAGAAAATGTTCCCCAAAACCAAGTGGGAATGGAATCTAAAATCCCTGCATTAGACATATCTAAATAATGCAATTTGTTTTGTGACTGAATCCATGATGGAAAGTTGGGACCTAACTGCCATGACCTCATATCCAAATAAGTAAGCTGAAAACTTGGATGCCAATTGGGACCCACTTTTAAAGTAAAATTGCTCCCCTGTGCCACAAAATACTTTAATCTCATAAGATTTGCAAGATCATCTTCCTTGACAATTCGTTGAAAAAGATTATCAGAAAGGCTAAGATATGTCAAATTAGAGAGTGATCTAAGACTTTCAAATGGATTTCCTGTGAAGTGATTTTTAGACAGATCGAGAACTTTCAGTGATGAAAGTTTACCAAATGATCTAGGAAGTGCACCACCAATTGAGTTGTCAGAAAAATCTAGCCCGACAATATTTTCAAAAACCCCAATTTCATCTGTCAAATTGCCTGAAAGTTGAGAACCTTGGACCGACAATGTTGTGAGTCCGTGGGAAATACTAGGAGCAAGAATTTGTAAAATTTCATTGACCTGTTGGTTGAGTTTAAGATACGAGGAATATATCTCCCTTAGGTTGCAGAGATTACCCAAAGAAGTAGGAAGTTTTCCTTCAAGTTGATTATCTGATAAATGAAGTCCAACCAGAGAAGTCAAATTTCCCAAGGCATTAGAAATAGACCCATTCAAGTTGTTTTCTGCTAGGTTCAAGAATTTGAGATGACGAAGACTGTATAATCCATTAGGTATAGAAGATGAGAATGAATTAGAAAACAAGTCAAGATTTTGAAGAAGTGTGAGGTTTTGAATACCATCAGGAATTGGACCTTGGATATTGTTACCTCTTAATTGAAGAGAAACAAGTTTGGCGAGTCCAAATATCCACTTCGGGACAAATGAAAACAGAGAAGTATCGGACATGTCAAGAGTGAGGAGTGATGTGAAGTTAAGTGCAGATGGTTGACTATAGTGAGGGAGAGGGAGTCTACAACCTCGCAAATATAAGTGCTTCAAAGAAGAGAGAGATCCGACAGCTTGCAGCCAATGAAATGATTTGGATAGGTTTGTATATCCCAAATCAAGATATTCAAGCTTGGAAAGACTTGATAGCCAATCTACATTTTGAGCAAACAGAGGTTCATAAGAATGAGTTCTGAGATTAAGATAAAGCAAATTGGAGAGATTTCCAATCTGAGATGGAATAGTTCCATTGGCAGCAAAGCTGAGGTCAAGATACATCAAATTGGATAGATTTCCAATCTGAGGAGGAATCTTCCCTTGGAATCCAGCAAGAGAGAGGTTGAGGTGAGTTAAGGAAGTCATTGTCCAAAGAAAAGCAGGAATTGGCGTACCTTGTCCAAGTAAATAATTGCCGCTCAAGTCCAAGTAATTCAAATGCTTCAAATCACCCAAACAAGGATTTATCTCTCCACCAATCTGGGATCTCTCGTAAGCCACGATAGCTTCGTAATATGCTTCTTCGTCCTCGAATATAAGGTCATCGAATTCATAATATTCATATATTTCAGGTGTAGGTGGAGAAGTGTTGAGGTGAAGCTGTAGAACGTGGGCAGTGACGTTGTTGCAGACAACTAGAGGCCATTGGCAACAATTTGAATTATTATGATTCCAAGATGAAAGCCTATTTGAAGGATCAATGAGATGATGCTTCAACTTCATAAGTGTTTCTCTCTCACTTGGGATGCACTCTATCTCTCTGCAAACACCAAAACCTAACGTTAATAACCAAACACTCCAAATAATCCACCAATTCATCATCACGCAACCAATCTATTATAATTGCTTCTTGCTTCGCCATATAACACTCATCTATATATTATTTATAGTAGTGCGCAGTGCCTGCTCTTTTCTTATTTGTTACGTTTTTTTTAATTATTCAAGTTAATATAAAATTCACCGCAATTCTTAGATTAGGATAAATTTTATATTTATTTTATCTACTCGCTATTTAAAGTTCCTATATGTATATATACACTAATTCATTAAAAAAATTGACATTTCAAAATTTCTAACATATTGTATATTCTTTTTACAAGTTATCAACTTAAATAATAGGAGCAACATAAATTTTATGTGCCAATTGTTTTTTAACATAATTTTGAGTGCCAAATTTAAACAAACATAAAATACTCACAATTTTCTACAAGGAACTATGATTTTTTCTTTTCTCAAATACAAAAATAAACCTTTTATTTTAATTTATTGTATGGAAATTCTTAAATAAAGGTTTATTTTAAGAAAGTACTATTTAAAGTTTGACTAATTTACAAAGAAATCTAATTAATCAAATTTGGCTTAATTAGTCTTAGAATTTTAACCATTATTTTAATCAATCATTTAGTTAAATTTGTTAAGTAAGGAACAAAAGTCTTGCCATATTCTATTCAAGTCTTGTATTTTATATAGTCTCAATTCATAAGTAATTTTAAATGGTCAAATTTTCAATATTCGTAATAAAAATAGTTTAAATCAAAACTGTTTACTAAACCGTGGGTCACAAGGTCATTTTCACCTTTTCAAATCATCTAAGTCCATATCAAGGTTGAACCTCAGGACACTCTAAATAGTCTAATCATGTTAAGGTCTTTCACTTCTTCAACTTGAACTCTAGGTTGCTCCACCAAGTCCATTTCATGGTGTTCCACTTCATTCTATTTAATTTTAAATAAAAATATATTTTTAGTTTGTATAAAACAAGTGTGTTTTAATTTTTGCAATTCTAATATATTTTCTTTATACATCATTGTAAAATTTAAAATTATTATGTTTAATGTCAATAAAATAGGTCAATTTTGATATTAACTTTTGTAAATATATTTTATTTAATTTTCATCCTTCTAAAATTTAAAATACTATTTAATTATAATTTATTTTAGAAATTTAGAAAATAAAATTTAGATATGTCATATATTGACATATTGATTTAATACTATAAATATACTAATAGATTTATCATGAAATAGTTACTTTTTTGCGGATGAAAATTAAAGATTATTTTTTCAAGATCAAAAATAAAAACTCATTCATTTTACAAATTTTAAAAGTATCCTTAGACTTTAATATTGATTATGTAAGTTCTATGATTTTCTAATACATCAATTATAGAAAATTAAAGGACCTATGAAATTCATGATACTCACATAATAATAAGAAAGTGTGTACCTTTCTTTATAGTAGAAAATTCTTTTAATCCTTAGAGTGCTTTGATTTTCTTGAAGAGAACCAAGATTTCACTTCCTTTGACTTTTCTTTCTACTCTCTCTATCTTTCGTGATGGCTAGGGTTTGAGAGAATACTTTCTGTCAGGGGTGTGAACCTTGTCTCACATTAGTGGATATTTATAACCCCTAAAGATTGTTATTTCCATCAAATAACAATTATTCTCATAAATGTTCCATTAAACCCATTTATGATTTAGTCTTTAATTATTTAATTATTTATTTATTAGTCCCTTTATATATTACATATTTCCCACATGAGACATAATTATCTTACATTCTCCCACTTGACTCATGTGACATTTCTCACAATGGACAAATAAATAAATTAATTAAATTAACATAATGCGCATTAAAATGGTTAAATTATTTTATACATTGGGTTCATCATAATTTCATATTTAAAAATATGAACTGTACTGGCCAGCCGAGTTGCCGACTTGTCCCTCACCAATCTATTGACTCGGTCAAAGGTTTATCAGCCTGACCAAGCAATAAACTCATTATTGCTGAGTTCCTCAGCTCGGCCATGAAACATGGACATCGGAATACCACATCGGCCCAAAGAAGCCACGTCATCAAACAGATAAAAATACAACCCTGTCACCGCGCCGCAATCACAAGGTAAAACCCTAACAATGCCAATGTGCCGGTAGACAGTAAAAACCCTAATATTATCAAGGTACGTCTACATAACCGTCACCTCCCATTAGCACGCCGCCCACACATTTCGGGGAGCGAGGTGACACTTATGACACATGGCATCTTGACAGACAGGCGTACACGTAGAGTCACAGCCCCTTGAGGAGCTCGGTCTTAACTCCTCGACCTACGATCTTCGAAGCTTGGGGGGCTAGTGTACTATCCGTACCGCCAAGCCGAGCTCGTACTCGACATCTTAGCGCAAAGTGACCTTGGGCACGCGCTAAGTGACGTCAGCTCGACACTTAAACAGGTCACAACTGATCTCGGGCCCAAGGCCCAACGTAACCCTAATTCACACCAAGGTACGTGCATTACTTATATGAGACTCATACTCCTACAAACCCTAACTTTAGCATCAGAGTCTTTTTTGCAGGTATCACCCCCATCTTGGAGCAACAAGCGTACTCGTGAAGGAGACTCACCGATCTTACCCAACGGATTGACTCTACCTCAGATCCCCGGTAAAAACATGAACTAATTTGAGTCATGGCGGTTGTACATCAGTTTAATCGACATAGTCCCTTCCATGTACTACAAACAAGCCTTCTTCTTAATATGATCATTAATAAGGAGCACATACTTGGTCCAACTTTATATCTTTATTCAAGATAACACATGTTTACATTACTCTAACACAAATATGCATAAAACCATAAAAAAAAAGGTACTCAGAAACATATCATTAATGAGCTCAAAATGTCAATCACTTAATATAAAATAAACATGATACTCAACAATCATTAGTAACAACAATACCCATATTTTTAACATGCTCAATAAATGTTTTGGGCGGTAATCCCTTTGTTAAAGGATCAACTATCATAAGATTTGTGCTAATATGTTCTATTGACACTCTTTGTTTCTGAACTTCCTCCTTCACGACAAAGTACTTTAATTCCATATGCTTAGCACCCTTAGAGTACTTGTCGTTCTTAGAAAAAAATACTGCTGCAGAATTATCACAATACATTTTCAGCGGCTTAGTAATACTGTAAAAAATTCCAAGCCCTGAAATAAAGTTCCGCAACCAATTAGCCTGAATTGTAGCCTCAAAACATGCTACAAATTCAGCTTCCATAGTCGATGAAGCAACAACTATTTATTTTTCACTTTTCCATGATATTGCTCCTCCAGCTAAAAGAAATACATAGCCAAGAGTGGATTTTATTGAATCCACACATCCAGCAAAATCAAAGTCTGAATATCCAATCACCTTAAGGTGATTAGACCTCCTATATGTAAGCATGTTACACTTTGTTCCCTGTAAGTATCTCAGAACTTTCTTTGTAGCTTTCCAATGTTCCATACCCGGATTACTTTGATATCTTTCTAACATTCAAGCTGCAAAACTTATATCTGGTCGAGTACAGATCTGAGCATACATGATACTCCCAACAACTGATGCATACGGAATTGCTTCCATTTGTTTTTGTTCCAAGTCATTTTTAGGACATTGAGTGAGACTAAACTTGTCTCCTTTCTGAATTGGAACAGGCGATGTTGAGCACTTTTCCATCCTGAATCTCTCTAGTACTTTATTGATATATGCTTTCTGAGACAGGCCTAACAGTCCTTGTGATCTATCTCGTAATATTTCTGTACTGGCCAGCTGAGTTGCCAACTTGACCCCCACCAATCTATTGACTCGGTCAAAGGTTTACCAGCCTGACCAAGCAGTAAACTCATTATTGCTAAGTTCCTCAGCTCGGCCATGAAACATGGACATCGGAATACCACATCGGCTCAAAGAAGCCATGTCATCAAACAGATAAAAATACAATCTTGTCACCGCGCCGCAATCACAAGGTAAAACCCTAACAATGCCAATGTGCCGGTAGACAGTAAAAACCCTAATATTATCAAGGTACGTCTACATAACCGTCACCTCCCATTAGCACGCCGCCCGCACATTTCAGGGAGCGAGGTGACACTTATAACACATGGCATCTTGACCCTAATATTATCAAGGTACGTGCATTACTTATACGAGACTCATACTCCTACAAACCCTAACTTTAGCATCAGAGTCTCTTTTGCAGGTATCACCCCCATCTTGGAGCAACAAGCGTACTCGTGAAGGAGGTTCACCGATCTTACCCAACGGATCGACTCTACCTCAGATCCCCGGTAAGAACAATTTCTATTCTTATCTCATAGCTTGCCTCGCCCATATCTTTCATTTCAAAGTTACTAGAGAGAATTTTCTTAGTCTCATGAAGAAGACCAAGATCGCTAGTTGCAAGCAAGATGTCATCAACATATAGAATTAAAAATATAACTTTACTCCCACTGGCCTTTAAATATATACATCGATCAACAATGTTTTCTTTAAATCCAAAGGAAACAATGGTATCATTAAACTTTAAATACCATTGGCGGGAAGCTTGCTTAAGTCCATATATTTACTTCTTTAATTTGCACACCATGTGTTCCTTTCCTTCAACCGAGAACCCCATTGGTTGGTCCATGTAAACATTCTCCTCCAAATTTCCATTTAGAAAGGCGGTTTTCACATCCATTTGATGTAGCTCCAAGTCATAATGGGCTACTAATGCCATGATAATTCTAAAGGAATCTTTTCGTGAGACGGGTGAAAAAGTCTCTTTGTAATCAATGCCATTTTTTTGAGTAAAACCCTTAGCAACAAGTCTAGCCTTGTACCTTTCAAGGCTGCCATCAGAGTTACGTTTAGTCTTAAAGACCCACTTACAACCAACTCTCTTGCAACCTTCTGGCAATTCTACAAGGTCCCAAACATCATTTTGTTCCATGGATTTTAATTCTTCTTTCATGGCATTTAACCACTTTTCAGAATTATCACAACTTACATCTTGTGAAAACAAAACTGGATC